TGTGTTTCACACTGCTCACTCATAGATGTTTGACGGCATTCCAGCAAGGTGAGCCGGCTGTTCAGGAGAATAATTGGCAACGGCATGGCCGCCTAGTTCTCTCACCTTGTCCAGTGTACACATTTCTCGTGCACTCATGCCAAATTTAGCTCATCTCTCTGTAGTCCTCAAATGCAGAGGCTTTCATTCCCATTCAACTCACAATCCTCTTTTCTTTCTCCCTCTCTATGCTCAGTTATTTAGTTGTTGCAGCTGAAGTCTGCAAATACAAGAAACATTGAATGTTTATCAATGTTCTCCAAACTCGGTTTCTGTTTGCCATTTAATCCTGTTTCGGATTGAATTATTTGTCAAAAGCTTTTATATTAGCTGATAGTAACTCTGTCTTAGGAATTAAGGAGCATTTTATTTTTACATGAACCCGGACACATTACCATCTTCTGCATCATGTGTCAGTTTCCCTTGCTGAGCAGAGAGAGAGCTGAAAGACTGATCACCAAGGAGACTTACTGCTGACTCAAAACCACTAAAAGAGGAATAGAGAGATTGGAGAATTCGAGGGGGTTCTCAGAGTGAGGAGTGAGGGGTTAATCTAATTATCAGAAGGGGAAGGGAGGGATATTTGGACCTGAGAAGGTGCATGTGAGAACTTCAAAAAGATTTAGTGTTGGACACTTTCAAAACTGTAGGTAAAGGCATTAGTGTTTATAGACTGATGGAAAGGAATCATAACATAACTGTGGTGCTTCACAAAAGTAACATACTCCTAAAACTTTTTCAAGTTTTGCCATGCTGCAATCACACATTTCAATGTGGTTAATTGTGATTCAAAGTCACAGACAAGTGGTTAGTTGCAAAGTAAGTTCCAGTAAGTTAGTTCCAGTCCGAACGTTCTGCACAAACTATCTGTGGAATCCTGGAACCCTGAACGAGTGTATTCCTGTTTTCACCTGGATCCCTGACCGGGCTCCGAACTTCTGGACCTCTGAGCCCCCCCTGTTCTGATCTGTTCCCCTGACCTGGCTTGAACTCCTGCTTGTTCTCCAGGGCTGCAGCATCTGGGACACTCTGGGTGGTGCCCGCCACATCTAATTGTAGCCCAGCGGCTGGAGCATACCTCGTTCTATGATTATGGACTGAACTGTTAAACCCCGTTAGTGACTAACTAATGAAGGATGATTATCCATGTTAGTCACTAACCTGGAACGTGGGCATAATAAAGGCAGCAGCTGTCAGTCGGTGTTGAAATGATGTGAGGAGTTTCTTTAAATTCCAGCCTCTAACCAATGTTGATCAAATCTTTGTTCCAGCATATAATGAGCAAATTACAGAAATATTTAGCCTTCAATGAGCAGTTTACTGCAGGTACACTCTCACTTAAACAGTGGCTCTGAGCCATATTGTCTCTCTTCTGTGTTCATGCTGAAGTTGCACATAGCTCTTGTTTGCGCCATGCGCGCTAACACTTCCACGTAGGTGAAACATGCGTTTACACCAGGAAACTGTAGTACTTCTTTAAACCCGTTAAGTTAATAATAATAAATGTGTTGAAAGAATAACGACTAACCCGTTACCCACTTTTTCAAACTAATTAATTACTGTGCTTGTAACCAGTAACTGTTACCAGTTATTTAATAACGCGTTAGTTATAGGGTGCACATCGTTTTTGAGAACATGTTTTAAGTTCACCCTAAAGTGCGAAAATAGGATATTTCTTTTAACTTTCCATAAAAAGGCAAGTTATTTTTTTTGTCTGCCCTGAAACAAAATTACATTTTTGCTTAAATTATTTTTGTTATACTTTGTTTTGTCTCTGAAGAGAAACCAGAGAACTTCAATGACAGCTGTGTTCTTTTAATGGATAGTCAGAAGCCAGGTCAGTCAGTCAGTCAATCAGATTCTTTAACATTTACAAAACAGCTGCATTAAAATATTAAACACTGCAAAAATGATTTTGAAACTGGCCTTTATCTGAGCAGGTAAGTACAATCATTTACCAACGGAATTAATATGAATTAAATATTTATATTTTTTGAAAACGCAACTAGTTTTATCCCAATTTTGCATGGTTCTTTCAATTTTTTAAATCTTTGTGCCTTCATTTTTGGAAAATCTGTTGGTAGCGAGGTTTGTATTCAACATTTGCATTTCAGGTTGTGGAATTAAGGTAGTGTTAAGGTTAGGGTTACCCTGCAAAAGAAAACTTTGCAGGAAACTTTATCACTAGCTTATAGTTGTATGTTTAAGTATTTATTTATTTATTTTTTGTAATTGAATCTAATTATCCAACACAAGTTCATCCTACAAAAGTGTATAAGGTTTGGTTTTAAACAGATTTTAGGAGTCAACTAAACTCTTAATCTAAACTCTTTCTGAAACTTACAGGAAAGTAATTGAAGTTAGGAAACCAACCACTTAAATTACACGCCAGAGCTCAAAAACATAGATGATGAGGCCATAGTGTATGTCCTAAAGCTGTAGTAGATGATGTTTTAGGGTGGATCATCAAAATAAGTGGTCCTCCTGATTGTCAATCATTCTGGTAATATGTTTACTGTACGTAAGGCTGTCCTATGTGCTTGTCCCTATTTTCACTTACCAGTGGTGAGTGTGACATAGTGGAAAAATTGCAAAGTAAGCTCGTATGATGCAATGATATAGCCTGGGTGCCATTCCGAATTTAGTCCTGCCCACAAGGTTTGAGGTCGGGAAGTTTGGTCTGGCATTGCTCCATAGTAGCGCGAGTATGATTGCCCACTCTCTGGCGATCCAATCAAATTGTCAGGGCGGGCTTTATACGATGATGGACAGATGATCAACAGTAACGTAATCAACCACATGACCAAAGCGTGCATGGGTGACAACAACAATGGCTGCCGCTGGAGAGTTGAGGTGTGTAGATTCTGCTATTAGGTCTGTTCTAGAAGATATCGACAGCAAATTAATTTTAAAAGAGGAACAGAGAAACGCGATCAAGGCTCATCTTCTTATTCTAGGCGCAACTGCACGCTTTGATTTTTGTTGACAACAACTATGCGTTGCTTAACATACGTCACGCACTCCGTTGCTCTTATTGGTTGTAGGTCTATCCAATTGAGTGCAAAGGCATTTTTTTTCCTGGTTCGTTCAAAACACGCCCCATAATCACAGCTCTATGGAGCAGTATCAGACTCATATTCTGACTAGAATTGAGTCAGACTACGTCAGGCTCGCAATGATACGATGCAAACAACAACCTTTTAACAGAGTGTGCACGAGTAGAAATAGGCTTGTGCACGCTCTTGCACACGTTTAATAGGCGTTCCCTCTCGGGAGTGGATACAGGAATCTGCATGTGCATTCTTTTTTTTTTTAAGTGGACAGGGCAGGTCTTTCCAAAAATGCACGAAAATCCTCCACTTTACCTTTTAATTGAAATCTTAATGGAATTAAAAATATCATTAAAAACTTGTACATATTACTTACTGAATTTTGCAGAAACCATGCAAAAAACTGAAAATATCTAGAGACTACATATGTGTAAAATATTCCAAAGAACTTTTTTTATATGAGATTGGTTAATAATTAAACACACATTAAGTAATTAATCATTCAGTGCTTTAGGGGTCAAAGTTTGCAGGTTATAAATAAGTCTCGTTTAATTAACCCATGAGGATCACGACCCTTAGGTGGGGGATTAACCCCTGTAATACACAAAACACCCTACAAAAAATAGCTATGACTTAAAACGACATAGCACCACTGCATATTACAAAACAGTCTGTTAGATTTTATATTATTGCAATCTATTTGATGCTGTAGGGGCTTCTCTTCTTTCAATAGTCCCAGACCAGTGACCTGTTCTCGGTGTATGCCAGGTATTATTAATCTACCTCCAACCTTCCCTAATGACCCTGAGCTGGATAAACCAAGAGTGGAAAGTGAATTGAAGCTATGATATATAGGGGAAGTCATCACATGAAGGGCACAGAACATTCTGACCATAAAGCCTTCTTCTTGTGGTAAATATATTTTTTAGCTTGTTTTATTTTACTCTTTCTCAGTATTTTGCTGTGCTCATCAAAATTTAATGGACCACTATTGAAATATAATTTTTAGATGCTAAGATAAATCTTTCCTAAATATTCTCCACCCTCTATGTGGCATCCATATTGTGCAACTCAAAAAAATGTGCAAAGAAAAAAATTTGATAAAAAGGTTGAACTATCAGATTGCATAATTCTTCTTATGTCTCTCACCTCTTCACTAGGTAAAATTTGCCTTGTCTTTTTTTTTTAAGCTTTTACCATCACTCAAACAGTGACAACATTTAGTGTACACCATTACTGAAAGATTTTCTTAGGTTGATTTTTTATTTATTAATGGACTGTGTGAAACTGCTTGTTTAATTTTTGCACCAAAAGTTGAGTTTTGTTTCGTGCCAGCATTAACATTATCCACCTAGTCTGACTCGTTCCACCGCTGTGCTTTGTTAGTAAAGTCTAAACTTTTTTTTTTTAATGGGGCCCAATTCTATACGAATTTTAAATGAAACTACAAATATTTTCTAAGTTATTCTTATATACTCAACAGTAAACGGAGCATGCAATATTCTAATGAGCTAGCAAAGAAGTCTGATTTCTGTTGAAAAGAGATGAATTAATATTGTACTTTCAAAACTTTTGTTTAAAACCAAAAAAAAAAAAAAACTGCATTCAGTGCCCTAAAGTGTTCAGGTTTATTATCTTGTCAAATTTTGTTTTTGTATGATAACCAAGAAGATGAATATAAGGATAAGGATTACTCTTTATTTAACCAAGCAGATAAAACACCCAAGGTCTGCTTTTTGATTTGTCACTAGATGTTTATGGTCATTAAACTATTAAATTAAAAGAAAAAAGTGATACTTTATATTGAATATGAAATTGTCTTCTTATTTTTTTTTAGATTGTCCAATTTTTTTTGAAAGGCCTTAATCAGTGAAATTTGCACCATAATATTTGATTAACATTTATCTGTACCCTGAGAACGATTATTTGCACTGTTGTAAGCCTCCTCAACAGCAGCTGCAAATTTAGTCTTTGATGAACTAATTATCAAATATTTGCACAATGGACTGCTTAACCTTGACTTAACACACAAATCTAAAGCAGTGTTTTGAATGCTTGAGGACTTCCCATTTTACAGTCTTGCATCAGCAGACGATGTGTATTCCCAACTGGTAGGAAAGAATTTCTAAGAATTGCTGACCCTGATTAGACCTGTCATTATTCACAAATAAAGCCATAACCACACCGAGTTATAAGGGACATTTAGGGTGAAGGTCCTGGGGGACATGCACTGCAGGTTCAAGAGTCAGAGCAGAATCCTGCTTTCCAGTCATTGAAGCATGAAATTGAATTAGTCAGCGTGCAACTACTGCCATCTAAAGGTCAGAGGGCGGCATGTTGGAGGTTGACTTTGGAGATGGATTTCCTTGGTTTTAAATCATTCTTTATAGGTCTGCAATACAAGATGAAAAATCCACAGTTATAAAAAATAATGTTTACATCCGTCCGATCCAGAACATGTAACTGTTGCAAAGATAGTCTTATGCAGGTCAAGACTATCACTGAAGCATGAAATTGGAATTACTGATGGATCCATTGACTCACACAGACGCACACGTATACAACTGCTTACAGGCAGAAAATAGAGTCTTTTCAGAACCATAACTTTGTACTTATATTCAGTTTCACTGATTGCAAATCTATTTTTGGATTTTTAATATGATCAGTTTGGTTTAATTCTAAAATGTCAACCCTTGCAGACATTCCTCCATGGCGTTCAGTTCTTGTAGTTCAGGGCAATTAGGACCACAGTGGAGGGAGAAGATAGGCTTGACCTTGGACATGACGGAGAGGGCCGGGCCTCTAGCACCACTGGGAGAAAAGCAGAGATAAAACACACTCAGTGCTGCAAAACAATACAAAACATCAAGCTAATGAGTAGAGCTTCTGTAGAAAACCCCGTTTACATTAGATTGAGAAAAAGAGACCAAGCTATTGACCCAACTGACCCATTGAAGTGGAGCTGAGCTAATTTGAAAAGCTGCTGTCCTACTTCAAGGCTGTCTTTTCCATACTGGGAGGCAGTAGCTACAGTGCTTTGCTCCAGTTGGGTTGCTGCATTTCTCCAGTCTCCTGCAGAAACAGTGAAAATATGGTGCAAGTTCTTATTATGACTGTACTGAACAGGATTAACTTGTTAAAGTTAGATTAAAACAAAGTTTTGACTAATTTAAAGTGAAATTCTTTTATGGTTCATATTTCTAAAGTTTCTTACAAATTGAACAACCACAATATTCCCTCTAAAAAAACAGATTTTTAGACTTCTCAATAGGCATAACTACCTGCTCAGCAGTTTGAAAACATCCTCTCTTACACGCCTCAAAGACTTCTTGAGGCAGAGAATCCAAAATGGGACTTTTTCATTCATGTAATCGAGTATGGCCAAGCAAGAAGCTATTCTTTTATGCCGAAACTCTAACCACATGTTGCAAAAAAGTTACATGCGTATATAATAATCAAGCTAATGCTCACCAAAACAATAAAAACGAATTTTTTTTTTTTTTATTTGGTCAAAGTGTTTCCCTTCAAATAAACTTTGTTGCTGTTTTTAAATATTTAACCATTAAAAATCAAAATGATTAATTCTACAAGGTTTAAATTCTTCAGTTTTTCTTTGTTGTTTTCCCTCCTTTTAGGCAAAGCTGTATTTGTGCTTGCTAATATTTGTGGATGATTAGTTACTGATAACCAGACAAGGGAAACAACTGGTTTTAGTAAAGAGTCAGATAACTTAAAGATGAACAGATCATAATGGATGGATGATTGGATGGATGGGGTTATCACATGAAACATTTGAACCATATAGGCCTCTTCTAACTCTTACCCATTGCGGCATAAGCTCTGGCTGTGGCATCAGCCAGCTCACCCTGCAGAGGATGAATCTCTCCAAGTATAAATCCAGACTGACTCCTAGTCCGTTGCAGATGGTGCAGGGCTTCCACTGAGTGACAGCAGAATGGAAGAAGGAGGTAAATATCTTCATACCTTTTTATTTTTGTACAGCTTTAAAGTCTGAGCTGCAGTTTGGCATAGGAACCTGGAACGTCTCGCTCCATGAGCTCAACAGCTTTCTCCAAGGCAGCTCTGACTTCCTGCAGCCTTTCGTTCACGTCAGCAGCAGACACTTGATGACCACAGGTTAAACTAGAACATGTAAATCCACTTCCTCCCTCCCTCTAAAAAATATAGAACATAAGAAAAACAATACTCAGCACAGATGTTTCATAGCAGTACAACAGAAGAGTAGATAAATATACAAAGCTAGTGCAAAACAATAAGAAGTTAAAACATAGATTCTGACATACTATAAGAGCTCCTTTACACTTTGAACACAGGAGGCCTGAATCCTTCCTGCTGCTTTTCCTCTGGTCCTCCTGTATGCTGCAAGCCTCACACTCACACAGGAAAAAGTACTGCTGCTGCAGGAGATGCTGCCGTTCTCGAGTCCTCATCCGATTGCTGTGGGGCCCTGATGTTAAAGAATTGGTTCATTAATGTGGACCAGAACATGCTTTAGACATTTGAGATGCATAATGTGAAAGTCAGTGATTTCTTTTACTCTCATTGGGGAAAATAGAAAAGGACACAAACACACCTTTATTTTCTTTACAAAGAAAGAGGTAACCAAAAAAAAAAAACGATTAGATTAAAATAAACTCTATTATAAAAAGTGAAAATATCAGCTAATCTGTTAAACAAATGAAATAAAAATTTAAAGCTTCCATTCATAGTTCCATGTCTCATATCTCACCATAGCAGTGCAGAACCTGCTCTCCAGGAGTGATTACTCTGGCTGCCCTGACCGTCACAGTAACTCCCCTATCTAGACGTCCTTCCCCAAGGAGACGGTGATTGAAACCTGCAGACTCCTGTGAAACACAGGGATCAGCAGCTTTTCCGGTGCCAAACACCAGGCTGGTATTGGGACAGCAAGAGTGATTGAGGAGGCTGAGGGTTGGGAACATCGCCGTGGCAATTCGAATTTCCTCCACTGACTGCACTTGAGAGTTTTGGGATCCTGTAAGATGTAGAAGTTGACAAAATAAAGGATGTGTTTCCCAAACTGATTGTAAAGTAATTTGCTTAGCCTGTCTTGCAAAAGTATTCTTTTTTTCAAACACAGAATAAGATTAAAGCAATTTAATAGCTTAACTAAAGGAACAGTATATTTGATTTTTAAATATAAAACACAAAATAAATCTAAAAAGTTTAGTAGGTATTCCTTTGGCCCTTGCAACTCTTATATCATTAAATAAAACACTGTAGAACATTTATTCTTCCTAAAGTGAACATAGTAAACTATTTTTACAGACAAGACAAGTCAAAAATAAAGCTATGGAGAAAGTTAGCGCAAGCTTAGATTATAAACCAATGTCCTTTGAATGAACACCTAATAAGGTAAAGAGTATAATATCATACTTCCAAATCTACCAAGACATAGCCACCCATCTAAATCTGGCATTTATTTAGAAAAAGAGCCAAAAGCCCAGCATTAAGTCTGAAAGAGCTAAAGTTCACTTTTAAAAGAAAGAAAAAACAAAAAGACAGAAAAACAGCTTGCAGTTTTTCCACGAGCCACAGAGGACACAGCAGGCGTGAGCAAGAGGTGCTGTGGTCAGATGGGAGCAGATTCAATGCAAAAATGGCCAAAATGGCCAAAGGCCAAAGCCCACTGAGAATCTGTAGCACACACAAAATCTAGCTGAACTTCAGTTATTTACCAGATAAGCGTGGGCAAAAAACTCTGTTTTGAGATGCATAACATTTCACCATAAATGTAGTGAAATTTAGATGTATAAAGCATAAAGAAAGATTTTAGATCAACACAAACGACACAAAAAACAAACTATTTGTCTCTATGTTTTGCTAGTCTATCCCATAACCAACGAAATTCATTAAAAGTATACGGTTGAAAGGTTTCCTTTGTGGGAAGGTAAACTTTTCTAAGCCATGTATGCAAAAGGTAACCATGGAAACCCTTAGCTGCATGTGTTTATTGTGACATTTAGCATGTGTGAAAGTTACCTGCTTCTTGCAGAGTGATGACAGCCTGAGCATTACACCTCAGCTGCAGCATGTGCCTTAGAACTGCACTTCCCACAACCCACAGCTCTGGGCTCGACTCTGTGTCTCCTGCATCTGTGGATCCACCGGATGCTGATGAAGCTTCATTTAACTTCCAAGGTATAGGAAGAGGAGCTGCCTTGCTGAGCTTCAGGTAAAGCGTGGCCACAGTAACTGCAAACAGGAACCGTAAAGCAGCGCTCTGGTGCTCTAAATGGTGCAGCAAGTGAAACACGGTCAGGTACGGGTTGTATTTCTCTTTCATTTTCTGCTCGTCTCTGATTGTCCGCCTTGCTATTTGGATGTTTTTAATCCGGGCCTTCAGCGTTATCCTGAGAGCGAGCTGTGCCATTAAACCCATCACAGTGAGATCTGCTCCCAGTGGGCATTCCCACTGGTGATGCTCTTCCCAGGCTTCTTGCTGACAAGCAGCTGAACAGTATTGGCTGAGGCTGCATCCCTCACAGGCCACAGGACAGAGAGTTTCAGCCAAACACCGGTGACATCGCCTGTGCTCTGTTCCAAGAACCATTTCCCTCTGTGTGCCCTGCTCCCTTTCTTTCTTTCCTTTAACCTTCTCAGTTCCTGGGATGAGGACTAAGCTGAATGGCCTGTCACTCAAAATCACCTCTCCAGCTGTTATCTTCTTTAAAGCCACCAGATGGCAACCTTTTTCCTCGCTGCAGCCAACAGAAACTTTAGGACAGATCCCAAACCTGTGGGCTCCATTGGATGACATGAGAACATCTTGGCTGCATATATCATCATTTGCAGAAGCACTGAGGGGATCTTTTATTGTTTTTTCACATACAGAGAGGCGGCTTAAGCAGAGAGTGCGACGATCCTGCAGTTTGTATGAAAGATGAGGTGGATAGCCATTGTTTAGGGCTCTGTTGATATCATCGAGGCATGTCTGCAGAAAACAGACAAGCTAATGAGAAAACTTTACTAAACTTTAAAGGGCTATTTTCAAGAAAATGTAACTTTGACCAAACCAAGAGATCCTAATTAAAAATCAAATGATTCAAAATGAAACGGAAAATGCTAGTAGCACCTTAAATTAAAGAATTAAAAAATTATCTGACCAATTTGCAATTAAAAATCAATATTACGCATAGTAAAAAGTGAAACTATGGTAATATAGAAGAAATAAAACACAAAGAAAAATCACTGAAATAAAACAGATCATTCAAATATAAACAAAAGTCAAGATGTGAGACTTAAAATTGTAAATGTGTGGGCTGCTCAGTGGTGTAGCGGGTAGCACTGCTGCCTTGCAGCAAGAAGGTTCTGGGTTTGATTCCTGGCCAGGGTCTTTCTGCATGGGGTTTGCTTGTTCTCCTTTTCCTTGCGTGGGTTTTCTCATGGTTCTCCGGCTTCCTCCCACAGTCAAAGACATGACTGTTAGGTTAAATAACTCCCTTAATTTTCCGTAGGTGTAAGCTTGTGTGTGAATGGTTGTTTGTCCTGTTTGTCTCTGTGTTGCCCTGCGATGGATTGGCGACCTGTCCCCGCCTCTCACCCATAGACAGCTGGAGATAGGCAACGGCGACCCCAGCAGGGATAACCGTGACGGAAAATGGATGGTTTTATTTATCAGAAGTCGAGAAGTTCTGACTCAATTTACAAATGAGATTCAAACAAACAGTTGTTGAAAAACAAACTAAATCCATTCATCATCCAATCAAATTGTATTACTGTAGCACAAATAGAGGATTTCAAGTAAAGTTTGAGATGGAAACTCCAGTGCTAAAAGATACACACTTTGATGTGCTGGTGTTGGTGAGTTCCTTGCTTTCCTGGTTTGATGGGACCATTAATAATGGAAGCATACAGTGTAAGGGTCCCACTGAGCTGATTCTATTTAAATACAATCTACAAGCAAGCTACAGGACACCCAGTAGCTTGCATTGTGGGGCTGACTTTGCAGCAATCCCTTATACCGAGGGGGCAGCTCTTATTCTAAGAAATATTTCAAATATAAAATGATACAGAATATGATATTCAGTTAGTTTAATTCCAGGAATATTGATCTAATCAGTTCAGAACTAGAGGGAGGTTGTTAATCAGTGTCAGCTTTTTCAGTGGATGAAATTAAAAGGGACGATGGGACGAGCCCCAAAACAAGAAGGGTTTTGACACAGATATTTCTCCCTTCTCATGTTTTACATTTTTAAATAGTTATGAATGTGACCAGGGTCAATGTCCCTCCTGTTAACATGAGGCAATATATGGGCCCTATAGAAGTCCAACTCTACAGGGATCAGATTAATATGCTGGGCATCCAAGCAAAGCCTCAGGAGCATGAGGGAGATTCTAGGAAAATGGCAGTTACTATAGAAGGGCTGGACAGGGTTGTCAGAGCTCCTTAATCCAACAGCAAGATCAGTATCTGTTCCCTTGTGTAAGGGAGGACAGGATGATTAGGTGCCCAACACCATGGAGGTTGACTGGCAATTGAGAAAGAACAAAAAAATTGGCAGTTTTGGCACTGATGCCCTGAACGTCTAACAGATGAGAGCAGGTGTACTTTAGTAGTAAATGTTCTGATACTTGCAGTTTTGTTCAGAATGAGGGATTTAATGGTGAGTCGACATTGGCATGCCCACGGAAGGACACACAGAGATATACAGGATTAACAACTGCAGCCTGACTGCCATTAGGTTTCCGGATGAATTCCTAAGACTCATTGTAAGACCCCTCCCTACTGTTGCAGGTGTTGAGTTCCTCTTTGTGGATGAAAATGGCTGCCTTAATGTGACAAGAGTATGCAAGCAGTTTGGAAGGATGGAGGATGCAATTGACTTTCTTCCAATCTTCACTGACCTAATTCCAATTAAACGTCATCTTTAGGTCCATCTAACTCAATCAGGCCAAAACCTCAGCCACCCTAAGACCTAAGTGATGCCTAGAAGGAATCATCTAGAAGGAAATAGCACTGATTTTGTCATCTATGTAGCATGTTCCCCCTTGTTGTCAGGATGCATAAAATAATGTAGACTAAGTACTCTGTACTTACATTGTACATTGAGCTATTAAAATGACATTTCACCAAAATGAACTCTTCTTTCACTTTCTAAGTGACATCTGATGAAACATTTTGTGCAATGATAATTTTCATCCTTTTAATCCTAACACATCACACATTCTGCTTTAGATATCCAGCATCTTTTGTTTCAATCAAATTTATATCTGATGTGTTTTCAATGTGTTCCTTGTGTTTCAAACCCATGAAATAGTTTATTATTTATATGAAGTCTGTGTCAGCCATTTTTTTTTTCTTGAAGAAATAGCCCCATTCTGTTTATACTTCCTTTTATTTTTTCCCCCGTTATTCAGGCTGTATTCTGCTTTGAGTTCAAAAGTGCTTGAATCCTTTTAAATACTTGTAGCGATCCAATGCTAATTATTTTAGCACCAAGAAAATGTCAGCACTTCAACTGTTTTTGTTTTAAGCAGATTAGACATGAGATGCAACTACATGGCAAAAAAGTTATTTTAAAATATTTATAAATTAGTCGCCCCCATCTATCTCCATTTGCTCTCATCATGTGCATACAATTAAAGATCCTTTTGTCAAAGTGCCTTCATTTATTTTAAGTGTATGACTTTAGTTTGACTTTACATTAAGTGTAAAATGTATGCGTTGTTAGTAATGTATTAAAAAAAACAACACTATTTTTCATCAGGTTTTCATGTAGTAATTCACCAACTGGTGTGTGTCAACAAAATATCAACTTGTGTTTTTAGACTGGGAGAAGAAAATAAGAATAGTGAGGAGGAACAGCACTACCTGATAGTGTTGCAGATGGTAGAGAGCAGCGGAGCGATTTGCATAGCACAGAGAAAGCTGCTCAGAACTTGGAGGAGCAAAACATATTCCCTGTAAAAAAAAAAATGAATATTTTACAATACTGACTATGCATTAATAATTAAAAACATACAGAATGGTTGGTTGTAATGCATCATCAGGTTGTATCATACAGGTTGATCTAATAAATATATTAGATACCCATATTTTATTTAAACACTATTGTAAGAAGTATAAAATATATAACATTTAAATTTCACCTGTGAATAGTGCAGAGCTGCAGCCTTGTAGTCTTTTGCCTTGAAGCTGCAGTTTCCCCTTTCCCTGCATTTGGAGGCTTCTCTAGAGTCTTTCTTTGCTAAATACCCTGCAGAGATCAATTGCACAGCATCCAGATCCTCTTGACTGCAAAACACAAAAAAACACAAGGACTTTTATTTTTCTCTCACGCTCTGTGCTGTCAGCAAAAGCATTTAAGAAGTTATTGGAAATAATACAATGAACATCTTGTTTAAACCAAAAGGCCATGTCTCAACGAGTCTAACATGCTAATAAAGTACATATAATTCTGGTCAGAGATAAACATACTTTGCGAGACTTAAAGCGCATTTAAAGACATCATCTATTTCACGCAGGGAGTTAAATGTTTCCTTTTGCTTTGGATCGAGTCCACTCCATTTCTGAGCAACGTGATCTTGCCACTGCGTGCAGGGAAGATCCATCATGAACGAGAGTTAAAACATCACGGCATTTGAACGTCAAACTCGAGTTTCTTCTTCTTCTTTTATGGCGGTTGGCAAGCAACTTATTGATGTGCATTACCGCCATCTACTGGAATGGAATGTGGATCGGGATGCTATATATAAATTCTCCAACAAAACAAAACACATTAATGGAGGACCCACTCTGCCATATTTAAAAATAAATGCAGAAATAAATAATTGCTCAATAAATAAATAAGCATACAATTATTTGCCACCCAAAATACAATAATCAAATAAATGTAAGTAGAAATTAAATTATACAGTGAGACATAAATGTATATAACTCTTTTAATTAGCTTCTTTATTTATTTGCCTTTGTAATATTTACCTTATTTTTTTGTCCTTTATAATCTTCAACTTTATTTTTTTAATCACTTATATTTTTAAGTATTTATTTGTGTGCATGTTATAATTATTGTCTGTTTTATTCTTCCTTTGTATTTTAAGTTGATAAATCTCTTTAAAATATCTTGTATATTTAATTGCAATTTATTTTTCTTGTAATCAACCCTTCTCTCAACAGAATATTTAGAACAGACTAACAAAACACGTTTTACTGTCTCGTCTTCAAAACAAAAACCTGTTGTATGTTTTCCCATTTTAAATAATGCACTATTTAACCTTCGGCCCTAGTTTTTATTTTGGGAAATCTTTTAAACCGCTTGTTGCCGTCAAATATACAAGCGAACGATATTGAAAACCAGTTTCCGATTAGAACATTCAAAATAAAGTCTAACGTCTACTGACTTTTATTATTAATATTATTATTATTAGTTTAGTAGTAGTACTAGTAGTATTAACATTATTATGCGTATAGCGTAGTGATAATAAAGTAAAATGTTGGTCCCATCAATAAGTGCACATTTATTTTTAAAGCAAACGGATTCTTTTATTTTGAAGGCTTACAGATGCAGTGTGCAATTCTCGTTAGTGTTCCTGTTTTCCATCTCGCGAGAAGTGTTATTCTTTTGGTTAGGGTGCGCAGTGTAGAGGCTAAAGTTTGAGAGCTCACAAAACAGTTTTACGAAGAAGACATGCCTATAAAACTAACACAAGGGGCAGTTAAAGTAAGCTCGGATTTTATCATAACTGCAAGTTTATTTATTTATTTGTTTCTGACATTAATATTCTTGTTGTTAATAAATATCAGGTGCTGATTTTCAGGATCTGCTAGCATGGAGCTAATGAGATTTATCCAATAATATCAATAGTGGCTAGATGTAACGCTCCGATTACAAGCCATATGTAGTGATACCGCGAAAGCTGAATTAATTCATAACTGCCACACATATTTTATTCAATTCTTTTTTTGTTAACATGATTTTAATTTAAAAAAATGTTGTAAATAAGATAAGACAGCGTAGTACCACTTTTGGGGAGAGACGAGATTTAATTGCCATCTTATTATTATACAAATGCTGAAGTTAAGGCTTTGTGTTAGCATCGTAGTAATTTGATGGGACACTATGAGATCAGGCTTACTGGTATCTTTCTATCTGTTGTTCTCCAGGCCCTCTACAATGGAACCCCAGTGCACAATCCAGTACTACAATTAATGGTGAGTGACAATTGAATGAGCCCACTTATTTAGTATTAGTCTGTTTAGATTTAAAATATAAAAGCTAAAAATAACATCTGTATTTGTGGTTTGTATGTTTCATTATTCATTAACTTCCAATTTTTATTTTAAACCACTGTGCCAAAAAGTATGATCAATAAAACACAGTTAATGTCAAAGTAATCATCCAATCAAACTGCGCTACTGACATATTCAGAAAGGAGAGGAATATTCCACACTGTTATTGCCTCCCCTTTATTCTTTGTCTGTATTATACACTGCATGTATAATGATGTAATTACTACACTGTTTTTTTCAAGATTAAGCACAATTTTGAACAGTGTACATGTCCAGATCATATAACAGTTGAAATATTTCAGAGTTAACATTTACTCTTCATCTTTGTTGTAACTTTCAGGAATAGTTTGTTGCATCATCTTGTTAATTTATATATGTTTGTAGGTTTGCTGTTCCACAAATTCACTCTAAAGTTAGATCTATACAGTTTTCTTTGTTGCTTTTATTGATGCCTTTTTTCATTCATATCCCCCTTAAATTATGTCTTTAACTCGTTTTTATGAAATTATCCGGAATTTTATGATACAAATAATCACTTAAATAGTCCTGTGTAATTTTTTAATTTTTAAAAATGTATTTTTATTTTTTTATAGTGTCCTGGCAATGTGGCACTAAGAATAATTGTCTTGATGCCAAAAAGAGCCCAACAGATTTTGCTTTCACAAGTAGAGCAGTCCGGCTATTGCCATAGTTTTCCGCTTGATTAATGCATATGAATTGCTTTATTATAATTATGCAGGGAGTTTCACAGATTATATGGTCACTGCAATGTAAGCAGAACAGGGACAGAAAAAAAGGAGGAAAGATGAAAGAAAGAGGAGATAAAAGGGAGATAACGACAAAACATCTTCAGTGTGCTTCATCAGCTGCAAATAGATGTAAAAAGAACAACACAACCAATGGATACAGTATAAGAGATACAATAAAGTAACACCTTGGTACTATCACTGAAGTATAAGAAGCATTATTGTAAATTTATTAAATTGTCCTGTGTATTTAGACAGACCAAGTGATTTCCAGTTTTCTTGGAGCTCTGATCTACAGATTTTTCTTTTTGCCGAATCTCTAACTTTGTTTTGTGATTTTCAGGCCCACTACCTTATTAGATACACGCCTGATCTCTGTTTGTGTGTGCTGTCACTATAAGAGGGAGACTATGTTAAAAAGAAAATAAAACTGAGAGCTAAATCATCATAACCTAAACCTTAACACCAAGCGTGACACACTGACAGAATTCTGCCCTGAATCATTTAAAGTTGCCACAAGATGACTTAGGAGATGTAACTTCTGTGTATTTTGTATTATAAACCTAATCTTTATCGTCATGTTTTTTAGAACATCCGTAGGCTCACTTCCTCAGATTCACCTAGGTACCGTCTTGCAATGAGTGATGGTCAGCATTTCCTGTCTGGTAAGTATCTTAAAGTTGTCAAAACTTATAGTTTGTAGATTAGGTCCTAATGATATAATGAATCATCATATATGTGCAGAATTACATATTAGTGTATACATGTAAAATGTTTACAGCCCCGGTAGCCTAATGGCCTTTTGCCTATACAAGGTTTGTGAAAATTGTATTTTAGTATTGTATTTTTTGTTCTTGTTTTTCCATGCAGCTGACCAGTATTCATTGTTTTTGTCTTTTTTCTGTGTCTAGCGTTCCTGCTGGCTACCCAGTTAAACCATCTAGCAGAAGAAGACCTTCTTGTCCCCAATTGTGTTTGCTTGTTGAAGAGGACAACCACCAACACTTTGTCAGATGGCCGGTATGCCTTTCCTTTCTGTATCCTATCTCCTCTTTAGCACTTAAACCCACTCCTCCTTTATGCCACATGATTCTAAAATGGAAAAACAGATTTTACTTTAGAAGTTAGTCACTATTGCTTTATAATAAAAAATTATTTATCATAAGTTTCCATCTTACTGAGAAAATGTGGTGTTGAAACGGGTAATTTGAATCTTGGTTGTCTAAATATGTATTTTCTTTGTGTAGGCAGGTGGTGGTTGTTGTCGAAATGGAGGTTTTGAAATCAGCTGAGGAAACTGGTGGAAAGATTGGAAATCCTAAACCATATTCAACAGATGGTATAGTTATTCTTTCTGTGGTTAATATTGTAACAATGAATCAAGGGATCTGTGGGTTTGCTATGATGTTTGTTTACCTGCAGGTAAGCAGGCCTCTCCACATATGGTGTCGTCAAACACCTCTGAACCAGCTTCCACTTCAGCTGCTGAATTACCTGGACCCTCCGGCACAAATAGCAACAACAGCAGAGGTGAGGGTGCAGTTAAACACTGATTTGAGGTTTTCTTTCTGTTTCGACTCAGTGCCTCAGAATGACACAGGGCTTAGTGTTTCATTCTATTTTATAGTTGAGATTGTTGCATATACATTTGTATCTCAATATACAGGAAAATTATCCAAAGGTTAATGGTTCATTATTCAGCAGTATCCCATATTTTTCTTCATCTGTGGATAATATGCACTAAGGTTCGCTGGATTTCCAAAGCTTCAGAAATGGCTTTAAAACTCTTTCCCGACTGAAGTATCTCAATTGTTTAATTTCTCATTCATTCCTGGATATCTATGGTCATCTACATGATGTGTAGCTTTTGAGGATCTTTTGGTGATGATTTCGTGACTGAAATCAGGTGTGGCTAGAGATAGTCACCTCAGTTATGGTAAACCACAGTTATATTTTAACCAGGTGGGAATCATAAACAGCTTGTCTTGATGAGTTGTGCTGTATATGACTAGTTAACTATGTGTAATACACCTAAACAAGAGTATATGCATCTTAAAATGAAACAGAAAAAAGTTTTCTTCTAATTATATGCATTTTCCTGTAAACAGAAATCTAATTATTTACTAAATTTACACTGTTTAAATTTACATTTTTACAAATTCAATGTTTATTTACACCTCTTTATTGTGTGAGTGGGTAAAAAAAATCTATAAATTAGTCAACGCCCTAGTGGTAGCTGGAGCAACCCAGGGGTCGCGCTGCACTTTGGGAGTCTCTGGCTTAAATTACCCTGAAATAGGTGGCAATTAACTTTCTGGAATTGGCCTGTTTTCTTTTTCTTGTTTTTCTGTTTCTTGTATCTTCTTTTATGTAACACAAAGAGTTTTGCACAACTGACCTTCTCTCCCTACCTGATGGCGGACATCTGGTCTGATGGCTGAAAAAGGATCTTTCACTTTTCTCTTGCTTTTGTGAAAAATTGATAATTTAAAAACTTTACCATTCGCAAGTTGTAGAGCATGAAGATGATGAAAAGAACAGTTTAGATACCATCAGACCATGGTATATTATTACACATCATGTAGTAGGAATCTGATAGGGTTTTTGTTGAAAGTATAACAGAAAAGTTCTCCCTATCATTGTGTTAGCTAATTTAATTCCTGTACAGTATCTCATCTCCTTTATTCTATATTTCCTTACTCCAGCTTTGGGAGACATTGAGATGGCTCACAGGATTTATTCATGTAAAGAATACAGTCAGTCTGTGAACTGAAAGCATTTAATGTAGAATGGATCATTAAAAAAAATGAAAAGATATTTAATTGGGGCCAAAGGCACTCTTGTTTCCTTATTCTGCCAGGAGAGGGAGCCATTCCCCCTTTGACTGAAAGGTGCAGAGTTATGTTTTAAGTTTACTGGATTCTATCCTTAATAGTTCTGTTCTGCATTTTCATGCAAAGTTTTATCCTAAATTTAGCACTGATTAGCAAAACTTGCTTCTTTAATTTTTTTTTCACAGAGCTAATGTCAGTTCAAGTCTCTAGAAGCAAACGTTTAAGCCCCATTGCAAAATAACTCTTTTTTTTTTTCCATATATAAATCTGTAATAATTTAATCATATTAAGACAGCAGAAAACAATCCAAAACAATTCAAGATATCTAAATTATAAATTATGTGATCACCTTTTATTAGCTTAGCATGTGTTTTAATCTGTAGTTTTTCAGCAACTGCTCCTCTTAGCATTAATGTGGTTTTACTTATGAGGCAGGAGCATACCCAGTGGTCCTCCAATAGAAGATGTAGGCAGGTGGGTGGATAATGAGTTCCTGGTATATTGTGTTTGTTTATGTGCTTTTCTTTATATGCATGTTTTGAGGCAGCGTGTGTGGGCTGATAGCTTCCTTAGTTCATGGTTTCTTGAATGTCGTGTTAAGGACTGGTTTTCCCTGTAGCGATGTGCAGACACGGGAAGAGGGACAGACTACACTAATTTGCCTCAGCGAAGATGAGGTTCAGCGTTTCCTTGTTACATCCTTTGATCCATGTTACCTCAGAGATCCCACCAGTTAAGAGAAAACCTGCTGCTCAGTTGTTCTGTTCTGCTGACAATGTTGTCTCTGCTGTTCTTTATAGCCAAAATAACAAGCTATATATAGGAACACAATGTTCTATGATCAAAGCTTGATTACTTTCCCATATTTTTTTAAATTAGACTTTCAGGAAGTCAATAAAAGGCATTTCTAAATGACACATTCCAAATGTTTTCAATTAGCTGGAGGCAATCTAATGACTCGAGCAACGGCAGTTTGATGAAGGTGCTGAGTTCATGGTTTTAAGTCTTCAGTCCAGAAGAAACACTCTGAGACACATGTAGTGAACTTGACTCATTTCTTCTTTCACTTATTACTTTCTTAAGTACCCGATTTTTTGTCCAAGCCACGATTTCTCAGAAAAATTTAGAAATGCCATGTTATAACATTTACAGTAAATAGATTTTGTCATCTGTGTATAAATTAGGGTGCTTAAAAAACATAAGGAAGGCGGCCAGAGTTTCTCCCAAGTGCAGAATAATTAGGCACTATTAGGCACTTAACTAAAAACTACTGCGATTAATTATGCATGCAAAACCTTATGGAAATCGACCCATTGAAAAGATCTTTTTCTTTAAAAATAAAAAATAATTACATTTTTCCTGAGCACTAGTGTTATAGGACTGATAAATTTCACCCCTTTATTTAAATATAAAAACATGACATAAAAGGAGCTTAAAATGAAAAACCTAGTTAAAAAATAAGTCGCTGAACAGTAAAGTAGCTTTACAATATACTTCATTTTGAAATAAATAAATACATTTCATAATTAATAAATCTTCGAATAAATAAAAAAATATTCAAATATGATAAACATAAAATGAGAATACAATTCATTTTAACATTTATTTTGTTTCTTTAACAGCAGAATTTATTTATTTAATTTTGAATAAAACGGCTTTCTATATTTGAAGAGGTACATAGATAATTTTAATATTTATCTCTCAGTTCTTTAAATATGATAAAATGTTTCCTTGCACTGTCATTAAAATGTTTTCTGTGTTTTCTTTGAATATTTCAACATTTCTGGTAAAGAATCTGGTTGTTATTCAAAATTGTAAAGGTTATTTTTTATTTTTTTGCAACATAAAACTGACTAAAACTAGACTAAAACCTTTTTACGTTTTAGTCGACTAAAACTTACTAAAACTATGACATATCTTAATGACTAAAATGTGACTAAGACTAATAATAGTTTTCAAACTAAATCGAAGACTAAATCTAAGATGGCTGTCAAAACCAACACTGGTGTTGGTTGAAATTTAGAACATCTGATGGATTTTTTTGTTTTTTTTGCATATAAATTTAGCCCTTTCAAAAAGGCAGTTTTTTCCCAAATGCAAAGGTGTATTAACATATATAATGATGCTATATCAAGGTTTTGGTTTCAGACCTGTTACTATTTTCCATGACACTTCCTTCATTTTGCAGGAATTTTCACTGGTTGTACAGATTGCAGGGTAGCAAGGTGCTCCTAGCTAGCTGAAAAAATGCTCCTTTACCTTTCCATCAAGTACAAAAAGACAAGGTTGGACAGATTAGAATCAAATTACAAAGGCTATCTACCCAGCAGATATCATGAAGGTGACTGAAGTTTTTCTATAATTACAGTCATGAGAGAGATGAGGTATTCTTTGTTATAAAGCCATAAGTGGCATGTCTGTTAGGAAGCTGACTGCAGGCTACCTATAGTGCTGATGGACTAGCTATTCAGCTGGGCTAAACTCAGACTGTTTAATTTGCTGCTACTTAAAGAGCAGAACGCTTGATAGATATTATATTCTGTACTATGTGCACTTGCAGATTGCACAGTTCTGCATTTACTGCACATTTTGCTCAGAAATCGTTTAATATCAAACTAAAGAATGTTTAAAGATTTAATTATTGAAGACCCAATAGGCCTGTTTGAAAACCTATTTTGCCAGTAGAAACTCACAATCACATCATTTTCTGCTTCATGTAAGGTCAGATTAGCATTAAAAATAAAAAATAAAAGTGAATAAGTGTTGTCTGAAGACACTAAATGATTCTGCTTTTTATATTACCCCTTAAGTCATTTTTTGGTTGGAATCTCTTGTTAAGTAACACTACACTTCCCAGTTGTTAATGGTCGTTATTGATTTTTTATTTGATCCTGACAAGTCATTTTTCAGTCACTTCCAACTTCATGGACATTATTTTTTTTTTATTTTTCTCCTCAAGCAAATGATCATGCCAGTCAAATTATGCCAGCTTTTATAATAAAAAAAAGTATAGGTATGTTTTGGTGACCATAGTAAAATATTTTTCCCTTTACAAATTTACAATTCTTGGTTTCAGGCATGCTCGGACTCTTCCTCCAAAATAATTCACAGAAAAACAATTGTAATTTTCCTTAAAGTAGCTCCTTGTAGGGATGTAATCATCAAAAGTTGTCTCTTATTTGACAGAATATTACACATAAAAATGATAAAGATTTGAAAGAAAAGCATGTGTTTGTTCAGCTGCATTTTAGCCTGCTAGCACAACAAACCTTGAGTCATCCTGCAGGTTGCATTAGGTAAAAAAATAAAAAACAGTTCTTTCACAATCTGTTTTGTGCCTGCTTACTTTTTTTTTTCTCCCCAGCCATATGTTCTTAAACCGCAATGATTCCAAAAATGATTAACATTAGGCATCCACTAATAGCAGCTTTAAAAATAAAACTGAGCACAGACTTTCTAGCATTTAATTGTCATTACACTGTACAAGTACAAAGCAACGAAATTAACTGTCTGGATTTAACGCATTCCCTTGGGGAGCAGTCGGCTGCCATTGTGCAGCACCCGGGGAGCAGTGTGGGGTTAAGGGTGTTGCTCAGGGTCCCAGAGTGGCAGTCCATGGGAGTGGGGCTCGAACTCAGAACCTCAGGATTCCAAGTGCTATTCCTTAACCACTAGGCCACCACTCCCCAGAGCAGGCAGTAGTCTAAAGGGTCTTATCCAAGGACCCACACTGGAAGCTTATTCCCTCCATCTGTGATGCAAACCCAGGCTTCCTGTTTGCAGGATGAGTGACTTACCAATTGAGCTAGCCAGCTGCCCCTATATGATAAGCTGAATATATATGCGCTGGCTTATATATTCAGCATTTGTTCTTGGCCAGTGCTGTCATCCGTGAGGTGACAGAGACACTTTATTGATAGATATCAGCTTACACTGTAGGATGTTACACATTTGCTTTTTGTTTGAATTCTGCAACAGCCACAGTGTTGAGAAGTGTATCTCCAAATCCTACACGGTCTACTCTTTAAAATACATCCTTTTGCAAGCATGTAGGATTTAAGATTACCATTAATATGCGATGCCATTTGTGTACGCCAAACTTTTGTGCTTTTTAAAGTTTATTAAGTGTTCATTGGTTTTGAATTCTTTTTTTAGTAAAATCATGAGCCAAAATATTGATTTAGTAAAATGCTCTTTGCTGGCCTTGGCTGTAAAGACAAAGGTCACAACGGAAGAAGCTAACACATGTGCTTCTCTTTTAAATATTCATCAGGAGCTTTTACTTAAAATGGACCACCTTTCAAATGGCTCAGCACATTTTATTTAAATTTCAGAAAGAGGTCTCCACTTCTTCAGGTGAAATAAAAAAAGATCATTCATTATTCATCCCTAACCTTTCTCTTCTCTTTTAAAAAATTCCTTTTCCCACAAACTTTTGCAGCCTCTGCCATTTGTACTTTTGCATTTGACTAAATCAGATATTGGAAAGACTAATTACAAAGTGGTATATTTCATGCCTTTATATCTGGTAATTTAGGCCTCCCAGCTAATAAGTCCAGTTTTCCAGGAATGAAAAATAGATTTTAACACATATTAGTGTTTTCTTTAATTATATCCCTGCACTAATTAGTAAGATAATTTGATACATGGTCAGTTTGCCACAACATAACTGTATCAATATGACAAGAAGGTCATATTGACAACTTGTTGAACGACTCTAGGTTGTTTTCATGCTTGTTTTCAGCTGATATGGCTTCATGGATCTATTGGTTTGTTGAGGGATTTTATTTTTTTTTTTTCAGTAATGCCGTAGTAATTAAAATGAGCATTTATGATTTTAATAATGTTGACAGGTCTAAAGTATTGGTGGAAAATTAAATCATCTTCCCTAAATTTATTTTCAGAAAAAGTATAACTCACTAAAATGAAATTATAAACATTTATGGAGATGTTTAGAATTGGGCATCAGAACCAATTAGAACCAGTTTTAACCATTCATTTCTTCAGGAATANTAAAACACTTCGACAGAAAACAAAGAAATGCTGCACTCATCCCCATGTTTGCTTAAGCCTTGAAATGGCGATGAAATGACATTGTGGTATTAAGTTTAGCATTTATAAAATGGAATCTTTGGAAGAAAAAAAAAACATTTGGATTTTTCTTAGCTAAGGACTGTAATAATCTTTTTGGTTAAAGTTTTTTTTACATTCTAGCTGCCATTTGTATATATATATATTTTTTTTTCATTTTATCTGGATGTGTTTTTCTTTCTATCTCTAAAATGTTTTATTTGATATGAATATACCAAATTTAGTAACTACACAGTGCTCTCTCTAATGTAATTGTTCTTATGCAGTACAGTTTAGGAGCTTTATGGTTCTATTGCGTATTTCCTACTGCCATCTAAATTTCCCACTGTGGGGTCAATGAAGGGTATTTTCTATCAGTTTGATTCTTGCATTGAACGTCTTTTATGTTGTATGCTTATATATTTCAAATTTTATATGCACATAACAAAAATATTACAATGGTGTTATGCACCCAATTTCCCGGTTTTAGTAACCATCTTACTAAACTTTCTCAAGCACTTCCTCTATTTAGTCACGACACACATGGGGAAGTACATGTTAAATGTTAGGGCTAATATTTAATATGCTTTTCAAATAACAGTTTTGTCCCAAACAGTTTATTCACCGAAATGCTGTTACTCAATAAGACACATCTTGCATGCTCACAAATCAAGGCCTTGCATAAAAAGTATGCTGATAACAGCTAACTTTTTTTTTTTTTTTTTTTAGTCATCTTGATTGGGCTGATTCAACTTTATTGTAGGAGGTGAGATGACACCATATGAGTTAGTGGGCTGGACCAAACTGTCTTCTGGCATTTCATCTGCTCAGAAGCAAAGAGGAGCCAGAAAGTCACAGTAGATTTAAGGATAGTAATCAATTAGCTGTATTAACCAGGAAAAAAATTACTTTTAGAATAATTTTCCTACGCTGATAATAGCATCACACACACACACACACACACACAGTAAGATAATTGCAATTATTTTTGGCCTGATGTTCCCCTTCCTAGATCCCACACTTTTGCTGCTTTTAGTCTTTTAACCCCTGGCTTCACTTATTGTAATACTTTTCCTCATTATAAATCCTTTCACAAATCATCTCCATTGATTCTTCCTTGATGGCCCTGTTTATGTGCTTTGAAATCATGTTTGATCCTGAGAAGTTTTGTGAGAATTCCCATCTGACATTTTTTTTTTTAATAAAATCTGTTTGTGTGTGGTGTGTTGTGTTTGCTATGTTGCTGTAAACCACACACAGATTGACAAATCCTGTATTGTCTCCTTTTTTTGCTTTATTGTCATATGTGGGGTCTTTATTTTTGAAAATTAACTGACAATTCTGAAAAATCTTGCCATGCGAGCTAGGCTTAAGTGGGTCTATGAAGACGTGTGTTGGTTTCCCTGTGTCAAGGGTTTGATCAGTTTGGTCGGATTTTGTAGAACCAAAATTGGTACTGGAATTCATGCTTGATGACGTAGCATTCAAATACTCGTTAAACAGGTTGTGGAGAATGATTGAGAGGCTTTTTCCAGCACGTGCATAAAAACAATAAATGTTACCATGGAAAGTGTCGGCAAATCCCACAGATTTCCAAAACAGGCTCACAGACTCTTTCATAGCCAAAAGCTTTGTATGTGTTAGGAGGCCTTAGTTAAGACATATGCTTGATTTTGTATTTATTGATAAAATATTGGAGAGGTAGTAAAATAGGTAATGAAAGTTGTATTAACCCTTTTTATTACATATCAAAGCTAAGCTGGTCTTAAAGTGACAGTTGTTTTTTGTGTGTGTTTTATCTCAAAGGCTGGGGAAAAAAATTTACAGGAAAAGCCCCCATGACTGCGTCACCTATGAAGACTTCTCCCATGGAAGAGTCACCCATGAAGACCTCCCCCATGAAAGGGTCACCCATGAAGACCTTCCCCATGAAAGAGTCACCTATGAAGACCTCCCCTATGAAAGGGTCACCCATGAAGACCTCCCCCATGAAAGGGTCACCCATGAAGGTCTCTCCAATGAAGGCCACTACCAGTTCACCTAGCGCTATCCCAAAAGTGATCCCCATTTCTAACCTCAATCCATACATTAGCAAGTAAGTCTACTTTGTCCGTATCTCCCCTTTTTTCACCGACTTGTTTTTGCAATCTAAAAAATTTGTTGAAAAACTCCTGACTTATATGTACTTTTTACCATCATCTTAAGAAAAGGTATTAATTATTGTTTCATTCTTAGAGCATTTTCTCTATTGCACAGTCATCCACTAAACTATTCCCTCTAACTTTCTGACCGGTTCATGTTTGATGCCATATCTGTGAAACACTGTGGGGCATATTTGAAAAAAAGTGTCAAGGCATGCGTGTGTAATCTTTTTTTTTTTTTTTTTACAAGTGTGGGTGGCAGTGTGGACAGCAGGTACCTGTATTTCAATCCATTTGCATGGAAATGAAATAGAGTGACTGATGTAGTTTCTTTTTTTAAGGCAGGCAGTGCTGGGTCTTTATGAGCTGCTGCTTAGGTTTTGATTCTGCTCTTTTGCCCATTGGGGATTTTCCAAACCTTGTCCTTCACTTTTACATTTTTTCCTTAGGGTTTTCAATTCCGCTGTTTATAAGTTCATCAATCATTTGTTGATGAACAATTGTTTCAGTTTCAGAACAGCTGTCTAGATTAGATTAAAAGTACTTTTTCACTCTCCATGCTTGTGCTTCTATAACATAGATATGTATAAATTGCAAGCTACAAAGATAGCGGTGCCAGTAGGCATAAACTGATGACTGTTCTTACTTTGATGTTTAGGAGGACCCAAGTTGAGTGAAATGGTTGATTTCAACTGTTTTCTCCATGTCAGAGGTTTAGGTGAAAAAAAATAACGTCTACACCTTTGCCAATGCGAGAGAATGTTAGACATATTGAACTTTATGTCTAACATAAGTTTATTTCGCTGGTGTTAGTTCACACCATTGTGGGCAACTCTGCTTTGACTGTTTGACCGGCGGTCTACTCTCTGCAGATCCTCTTTATATAGAATGTTTTTGATGAAATGTGGTTTAATTATTTTTTTTTAATGTTTTTTATTTAATTGTTTTTTGCCAACTGTCCCTTGAAAAATAGATTGTTAATTGCAATGATAACTTTCCTGGTTAAATGAAGAGTTTCTATAAAATGTGTCAGTCCTATCCATTATGAAATGGGGCTTAATACAAATTCCAAAAAAGTTAAAAAACAATCCACAATTCCAAATTTGAAGACATTCCGCTTCCCATCCAGGAAGCTTTTTCAATTCAAAATTAGCGTTGGAATTAGCGTTGAGTTCTAAGCTATATATAGTAGCCATTAATACAGACCATGCTCTTATGCCAGGGGATTTCATCCCAGGAGGGGTTATGTTATCTATCCTTCACTTCACAATTATAACCGCTCTCTGAAAGCTCATTGATGGAAAATAAAAATATTGCAGGCTGTTGATGAAACGCTGTTCAAAGTCTAACAGTGTTTTTATTTTCCCTCTTAGAACTTTAAAAACTCAGACAAGCAGTTTCTTTAAATTATTTGATATCCAGCAGTAGCGTGTTTTCTGTAGCGCTTACATCTAAATTTTGACTTTTATGATCTATTCTATAACTGATATGTGGATATGAAAAAAAAATCTTTCTGCATTATATAACTGAATAAATAAACAGCCTTAGAAGGGGAATTCAGGTATTGGTACTACAGTACCCTTAAAAATCATTACCACTCATACTAAAATTATTGTAGTTGCTGCCACTCATCTAAAGTCAATTTTGTTCTCCAGGAATAAAATTGTGTAGAGTTTCTCCAGTTTTTAGCTTTGGTCACATGTGACAGATGAAGTTGTTCGAAAAAAAGAAAAAAAAAAATGTTCCAGGTGAAATCTGAAAACACCTATTTAACGCTAATTGTCAAGTATGGTGGGTGATTTGTGGGATGATTTGTGATGTTTCATCCAAAGTCCCTGAAAACCTTATTCAAATAGATGTCACCACAAATTCTGTGAAATGCTCAAACATTTTAAATTAAAAAAGTATCCCTGTCTGCAGGAAAAACAGACACGTCATCACAGAACCTTTTAGCAGGACAATGATCTAAAACAAATGCCCAAATAGACTTGGAAATGGTTCACCAGATCAACCTTCTGTCTCAGTCTTCAGACCTAAATGCTAGAGGAAATCTTTCATGTTTGAACACGTTTTGGTCCTTAAACAGCTGAATGAAATTCTGAATAATTTTCTGGAGGCTTTATATTGAATCATTCATTGAGTTCAAGTATACGGAACCAGGCGTCATCTAAAACATGGGAAGCCACCCCTAAACTATGGAAAAATGTGTTTTAATCAGCCCTTTTTTTGACAAGAAATTAGGAAGTACTTTAAACAAAATCACATACATTGTACCCTCTGTTAGCATATACGGTCTACATAGTGATCTGCCATCATAGATGCCTTTGTATGGTTTGTTCTTAGGTGGACCATCAGAGCCAGAGTCACAAACAAATCCAATATCCGTAACTGGAGTAATTCCAGAGGAGAGGGAAAGCTCTTCTCCTTTGAGATAGTAGATGAGAGTGTAAGTAGAGACATCCCAACATTTGGCTGCTTATGGCACATATTGTTGTCTTTTTTTTTTTTTTATTCATGTAACTGCCTGACTGGTCAACAGGGTGAAATCAAGATTACAGCCTTCAACAACGAAGTGGACAAGTTTTTCTCTCTAGTGGAGCAAGGCAAGGTGAGCACATCCTGTTCATCCATGAGTCCTTTGAGTGATAAGACCCTTTTGCAAATGTTATATAAAAATTTACATTTAGAGTGTACTGCTTCTTACTGGTTCCTGATTTGCAAGAAGTGTTAGAAAATCATATTTCACATAGGGCTGTTTGTGTTTTTAGATTATTATTAACCTGTATTTTTAGTTGATCAAAGTCTGTTAATAAAATATGCTTTATATTATCAGATAATATATTGAGAAACAGTTTGCTGACTTCTTCAGGTTGAACATTTTGATATTGTGTCCAGGAATTGCTGCCAGCCTTGCTGTTTCAGTTTGTAGGGATGCATTTACTCAACACTGGCTGCAGGGATTTAAAGACAGCCTGTGAAGTGGGGTGGTGTGCAAAACCTTTTTAAATCATAGTGAGTTCTGTGATGGCAAAGAATGCAGATGAGAGGGTTGGCTTAGATCTGTGGTGATGCACTGCTGTGATTTAAATTATTAACACCTGTTTTAGGAACAGACAAACCTGCCCATTTGGATTCCCTTCATGATTCAGATGTTTTACAGTTCTGATACGCTGTCAAAAAGCTCATTTAATCATTAAAGGTAAATGAGCTTCAACAGTAATATATTTTTCCCTCTTTACTTTCCTTTGTCAAATGATGGAGGTGATTATTTTCTCTCTATTTTTTCAAAGATAACTCAAATGTAGTATTTACAAAATGTACGAATGTGAATAAATATAAGATGGTAATGTACCTTTTTAAGTGGGCAGTCAAGTCATCTGAATATGATCCAGTAGATCGCTGATAAAATATCTGAAAGAAATAGCATGTTGGAAGAAAGTCCTACTAATGCCAAGTTATATGCACAAGTAGGCAACAAGAACTCCTCCTTGAACCGCCACCTTAACGTGGTTGAGTGGTTTTAGTGCCCAGATGGTCCCATAGGGTATGACATCTGGGGCTTAATAATAATAATAATAATTGAACTTTATTGATCTCACATTGGAGAAATTTACCTCTGCATTAAACCCATCCCCTTGGGGATCCTGGTAGGGTCATCATCATCATCATCATCATCATCTTTATTTGCTTTAGAACAGCTAAAGTGTTAAAAAAAGTGCCTTGAGATGACATGTGTTGTGAATTTGGCGCTATATAAATAAACTGAATTGAATTGAATTGAAAAAAAACAGAAAAGAATAAAAAAAATACAGCATAAAGAAATAGAATAAGGCACTGATAGATTGTTTTAACTAAATAAATAAGGTCACAACAACTAAATCCTGCCAGTGTTAAAAGCGAATTAATAAAAGGAAGTCGTTAGCCTTGTTTTAAAAGAACACATCGCTCTGGAGCCAGGCCTGTTGGTCGGTTTCTCCCCAAAGCAGAGCTGGAGGAGTCTGGGAAGAAGGAAGTTTGGGAGTCTTTGCTGAGACCATAGTAAACAGCAATATACTACATAACGACAAAATATATAACTACAGTTGCAAAATGTTAAAGTACAAATAAATTATAAGCATGTCATTACCCCAAATTTTTTATGAAAAAAGGAATGAATTGGTCTTTTTATATTTTGTTTCCCAAAACAAAAAGATTGTTTATTGGAAAGTCTTATTTAACCATATTATGCAAACCCAAGATCCCTTGTTTAACATTTTTTCTTCTCTTTTTATGGACACAATACAGACTTGCCTTTTAACACAGGCAGCTAGAAAATCATTATTTTTTTCATTTTGTATATATAGGAATGATATGTATCACATACAAGTCCCCTCAGAGAATGTCAGAATCAGTGCAGACCTCAATAACATAAACTATCAAACTGATGTCTGTGATCACACTGACACCCTTGGTACTAGGGGATTGACTACCAAGAGTTCTCCTCCCAATAAACGCTGAATTTTTATGACCTTGTTCATCATTTTGATGGACAGGAAGAAAGCACTACTATTTTTTTTTTTTAACTCAGTCACAGAAGTCCCTGTAAATGCACATAGTCTTATATGTTGGTTCAGTGACTTTGTGACAGTTACCACCAAATCATAGGACAATCTAAAATGACAAAATGATTACTTTTAGGTAAGTGAGTAATCTCAGAGGAATATTGAAACCCCCATTTAAAAAAAAAAGTGAAATATTGCCCGGGTAAATTTTTTATTTAAAAAATTGTGCTATTTTTTTCCTTCCTAATTGTTGTCATTTGGGAGCACTAGTGCTCCTGGTAAAACAGCCAAGTGTACAGTCCTCATATGGGGACATGCAATAGCTTGTTACCATGAAGAGCATGATATTTGAATGTATGGTATATGACTAAATACATCAATTAGTCCCTAGACTAACTAGATTTCCTAAGATAAATCTAGATCTAATATGTACCCTCCACCCTCCATATTTATATGATTGCAGCATTGATAGACCAAGCTTAAGGCTAAGTTGCTGGAAGCAGCCAGAATGCTGCTTACAGAAGCTCCTTACTGCTGTGCCTTTATGTGCTAACTGAAAATGGAAGGACAGACAGGGGGAGTAGAAGAAAGTAAGGATTGAGAGGAACAAACCCAGAGGCAGAGAGAGAGGTGGGATGTTGGAGCCTTGGGAGAGTAAATGAAGAAGAGTGCCTAGCAGATTGAGTTTAAATTATGCTGTTAAGCAGAGTCGCTCTCAACTGCTGCTTATTTTCTGGTGAATTAAAGAAGTGATTGGGCTGATAGGGACACTGAGCCTCAGTTTGACCTGGAGGTTTTTTTAATTTTTTATTCTAAATAGGAAGTTTTGCTTGAACAGAGGCTGTTTTCATTCAGTAAATTTCCTTTGAGGGCTTGATCTGTCAGTTTCTACTTTTTGTCACTATTTATTTGATTAAGTCTAATTTTATAATGTGAGTGAATGTTTTGAATGTTTTTTTTTTCTCTCTAGGTGTACTACATCTCAAAGGCTACTCTAAAGATAGCCAACAAACAGTACACCACTCTGAAGAACGACTATGAGATGACCCTTCATGCTCATTCATCTATTGTGCCTTGTGAGGACACCCACGATATCCCATCAATGCAGTGTGACTTTGTGCCTATTGGAGACTTGGAAAACAGAGACAAAGATGCCATTATTGGTAAGTGAAAACCTAAATGAATCCTGCCTAAACATGAGCCTGTAAAAAGTACAAACCTCTTTAATCTTTTATTTAAATCCTAAAGATACAAAGTTGATTTAGTGTTATAAAATTAGGTCCCGCATTTCAGAGTTATAATAGCAACAAGTCTTTATATTGTTTTTTTAGCCATTATGTTTTTTCAGGCATTATTATGGTGGATGGTGTCATCCACAATCCACTTAAAACCTTGTTTTTTTCCAACCAGAAGAATTCTCCCTTATGATAATTTAATAAACAGAATGTTGATTTTGTTTTTAAGTCTGCATTTAAACAACTCCTGATACGTCTGAAAAAGGAAGACTCTGCATTATTTATATTTATTTACAGCCATTAGGAATGCAAGTTATCGATTAATGAGATACAGAAGCAATAAGTAAGACATTTGCTATAAAACTAGCAAAATTATGCTAATTTGTCACTTAATAATGCTATGTTAGCATTATTAAACATTAAACTTACATGCTCAGATGAAGCAGAAATCTCCATGTGGCATCATGACCTCTTTGCTTCTTTGGCATCAACGTTATAAAGGTCAGCCCATGCTTACCCTCATTTGTCCGCATTAGAATTTTTTTGGTGGGGTGGGGGTCTGACTGCAATCTGTGAAAAAATAACTCCAAGAAAACATTTCTTACCTCTTAACAGTGAGCTACTGGAATCTGGAAGCACCTGACAATGTCTCATGTGACTTTCACCTAATATTCCTTTTGGTTCAGAACTCATGTAAACATTTACATCATAACCAGATATTTATATATTTCAGACCTCTAAAATATATATTTATATAAAACTCCATGCACCACTCTAGTTGTCTATGGATGTAATATAAAAAAATATATATATATATATAATGTAGCAAAATGTAAAAATTTGTAGCTGTCACCCTCAAAAAGCTTGAGTTTTCTCCTTTATCATGATGGTCTTTCCATAACATGGACGGTCTTTAATGACATGGTGCTTTTTAAAAAAAAAAAGGACATCATTATACACTCGCCAGTCACTTCATTCTGTACAACCGTCCAACTGCTCATTAACGCACATTTTTAATCAGCCAATCACATTGCAGAAACTATGCATGTAGACTCAGAGTCATGGTCGTGACGATCGGTTTGGTTTAAATAACATATTTTCTTGGGACACTTAGGGCCCCTTAGGACCAATTGAGGATTGTCTTAATCCCACAGCCTGAGTATTGTTGCTGATCATGTCCATCCATTTATGACCACAGTGTACCCATCTTCTTATGGGTACTTCCAGCAAGATGGCTCACCATGTCATGAAGCGTGAATCATCTCAGACTGGTTTCTTGATCATGACAATGAGTGAGTGACTGTGGAGACTCAACTGGTCTCCACAGTCACCAGATCTTAGTTTAATAGAACCGCTTTGGGATGCAGTGGAATGGGAGATTGACTTCATGGATGTGCATCGGACAGATCTGCAGCACGCAGAATGTTTGCATTACCTCACTGAAATAACGATTAAGGCAGTTCTAAAGGCAAAAAGGGATCCAACCCGGTTCTACCAAGGTGTATTCCAACAGTTTATTGAACTAGCTATATTAAATACTGGATAAACAAAACATTTTTTTCTCACACAATATTGAACTTAGAAATATTTATAAAAAATAACAAAATTGGAACCGCTTAGGTTATTGAATAAAAAAATAGATTATATAAAACAAATGATCAGAGATGTTTAGACAGAAATCTATCTTATGTCACTCTGACATAGTTTCATTTCATTGAAATAGAAAGAAACTGTGATTTATATCATTGTCTGAGTGAATACTTGATTCTGATTTACTCTCTGTTATAATACTCCAATGATAATATAAATAATAATACATTTATTTTTGAAGCCCTTTAAAAAAGTGCTCAACAGTAGGTGATAAAAATAAATAAATAAAATAATACAATTTAGAAACAGACAAAAACATAAAAACTAAAGGAAACTGCAATATTACAACAAGTGTAAGCATTGAGTTAGATAAAATGAACATGTGGGTGTTTAGCTGGCTTTGAGAACAGAACAAGCCTGCTGAATGTCCAGTGGGAGATCGCTTTACAAAGATGGTGTACGAAAGGAAAAGGACGCTCCCTTAGAGAATTCTATTTAGCCTTGCTCTGTTTACGTTTTTTTTCTTTTTTTTTAAAGGTTCAAGTCAAATGCCTGATTGCTTACATTAATGAGCTGGCTCAAAAGCTGGTGTTGCACTTGCCCTCTGAAATGAAACTTTGTATCACCTAACATAAGACATCACCTTAACCAATGATCTCACTTCCTTCTGCTAATTAGGGCTGCAGGTTCTGTGGCCAGAGCCAGTTACCATAGCAACGTGTCACAATTACAATATAATAAATAGTTCACTCACCCAATTTTTGTGAAAAAAGAAATATTTAGGTATTAATAAGGGACTTAATATTCATTTATTTTGTAAGTGACCATGGTTTACGCAGGATAATGTCCTTACAGGTCTTCATTATCAGAAATGAACAGACTTCTGGCCAGCAACCATGTGACGCAATGCAGAGGATGCTTCAACAGATACTGTTACTGTAGAAATATTTGATTCATACCACGATTTTAATTTAAGTCATACCACCCAGCCCTACTATGCTGCAATGAAGGCCAGAAAAAAGCCATATTTACAACTCTGTGCTGTTTAGTTTGGAACTTAATCCCTCAAACATGCATACAATGGACAATCAGCGTTTTATTCAATATGGATTGATACTTATTTCTTTGTAAATTGCATTTGTATTAATAGCAATCCCTAACAAAGTGGTAAGTATATGCCTTTGCTTCCCATATGATTGTTGTCCTCATCACCTTTTTAGAACAGTTTCAAAACCTAAATTATAGTAACATTTGATCTATTGATTTATTTTATTTAAATTACAAACAGGTTTCATAATTCACTTAGTAGAATTATGAGACTTTCCCATAAGTGTCAACTCAGAGTAATTTAGGCAATAGCATCATTTGATCCACTGACTAGTTTAGCTAAAGAAGTATGTTTGCATTCTGTATGAAGGACCAGTGTTACACGTCTTAAGCTGTCGTCTCTCCATTCTTCCTCGTCTACCCTCCCCACTCTATGGCTTTGTTAAATAGGGGATTATAACATAGTAATGAGAACTGTCAGCCTGTTCCTGTTGTGATAATGGAGTTCATAGGTGGATGACATCGTCTCAATCATAATGGAATTAAGCAAGGCTGAGAGAACACTGACAGAGAGCAAATAAGAGGGAAAAGGAGTGGGAAAGAATTTAGAAAAAGGTTAACAGAAAGTGCAAAATGAAGAATGAGTGATTTGAAAAACTGGTTTTGGGATATTTTCCTTTTATTTTACATATGGCCACCTGCCCTGAAGGAACATTACCTACCAAAACCCTGTAAAGCATGTAGAGATTCTTACCACCCTTTGTGCAAAGGGGTTTTATTTCTTAGTTGGTTTTTTTGTTTGTATCATATGCATAGAAAAGGAGGCAGAATAAGCAATAAAAATGGACTATTGAAATCCAAGCCCTCCTGCAGTTACATTGATTAAATACTAGCAGTAGTACCGCATGGAGAGGTTCAGCATTTCAGAGCAAGTAAAAAGAAGAAGGAAAGGCATTGTGATTTAATATATGCTAATTATGATAATAGTTAGGGAACAGGTTTATCGTTTTATTATTCGTAGGTTAAGGAATTAATTTAAAACAATGTTTTTAGGAGGAAACTTTAAACCCTGTTGCTAATGGTTTATAAAAAAGTGATAGTTCTCGTTTCAAATGAATAAAATATGAGTAGGTACTTATATAAGAAAATTGAATTAAGTGAAAAATTCCAAGAGAAGCTTACTTGTCTAGTAACTGTACATTAACATCTGTCCTCTTTTGTTTTTTGGGAACCTTGTGACATTCCTATTTGATTTATGATGAGATCCACAGGTTATTTTGAATTAAGCTCTTTGAATTGTAAAATAAGGTCCTCTGCAGTCTTGGAGCTCAGCTGTCTCTCATTTTCTGTAGTGCAATCCTAAAAGAAGTGTTAAAGCCTTGAACATGATGGAGAACATTAATAAGAAATGAGTGCTTTTGTTGTGATTTAGAAGAAGGAGCAAAAGCCAGCCTGTTAGACTTAAATGTCAGCTCAATTCAAATTGGACTGTATCAGAGGGATTACACGTTCCCTTTCCTTGATCTTTACTCCAGTTGTGATTTTATATTATATTATATTATATTATATTTCTGATACTCTAAGATGTTTATTGCCCTCCCTGGTAGGGGTGGTAAATATCTTATTTAGTCAGATATTATTTTGGCTGTTATATGTTGTTTATAAACACACACCCTACTAGCTGTGTGTTAGAACAATAAATGAAAGAGTTATTCGCGCTCAAATCATTGTCAAACAAATAATGCTGCACATACATGGAATAAATTCACCACAACTTCTGTTCAAAATATAAGAGTTTATTAACAAAAATCATTCAGCTCCAAGTCAAACATATTTCAGTTTAAAACTCTTAACTAAAACTAGTGAAACTCAACTTAACTACTATGTACAAAGAGGAAGGGGAAACATGGTTGAAAACCATATTACAGTTTAAGATGAAAACCAAAGTTTATCTGGAATATAAAGCTTTACACTAATTTGGAGAAATTGGAATGTTTTCAGACCAATTCACAGTGCACATCCAGGAGGGGAATAAACATTATTTGGCCAAATAATGTTTTATTAAATTATTTGCTTAATCAGGAACCAGTAACCTTTAGTCAAATGATTATTTACTCTCTTTGAAATAGCTAGGAGTGAACAGACATCAGGATTCCATTAAATTACTCTTGGTCATACTTGGTAATCGAAATGTAATGAGCATATGAGGAACACATGAACACTAATGTTATATCAGTGTCCAGTGTTGTTGTCCAGTGTGTCCAACAATTTACACCAAGCAGAATGTTTAAAAGCTTTCCTTAAATTTCCCCCTCTTTTAAAAACACATTGTGACGGTCAGAAGGTTACACACAACATTACTTTTAGGTTTTTAACAAGACATTTAAACCAAACAGTTCAATATGTTTTGATTTGATTTGAATTATTGTCCTACATAAATAATAACATTAATATTAAACAATAACCCTCAAATTATGCAAATTGTAATTACAACGATAAATTTGCTAAAAAAAAAACAAGCCCAAAAACTTCAAAGTTCTTTTATGAAAATTTTTCCTCTTCAATGAGGGTTTTTTTCAGTTGTATCCAAATCTCTACATATCGCACAACTGAAATGGAAACACTTTTTTTCTTTTTCATATAAGTACTTGCTCTGCAGCTGCCTCGTAAAAAGAGGAAGAGGAAGACCGGCAGTAGGTGGAGGATGCTGGCGCCCACTTGAACCTGAAACATGGATACATTTCATGTGTTTACTTCCACTGCTGCCATGTTATTGTCACAGTTACCACGTGAACAAATGTCTTCACATACAATTTAATAGTATCTGTCATTTAATGGAAATACCACAATTGCAAAATGTTAGACTTTTCTTTAAAATAGAATAGAATTCAACTTTGTTGTTGTTACATTGTCGCAAGTACAAAGCAAAAAAATTAGCCCTCTGCATTTAACCCGACCTTTGGGGAGCAGTGGGCTTTCATTGTGCATCGCCCAGGAGCAATGTGAGGGGTAAGGGTCTTGCTCAGGGACCCAGAGTTGCAGTACGTGGGAGTTGGGGTTGAGAGGTTCCAGGTTCAACTTGGAACCTCTGGGATCCAAGCACAATGCCCTAACCACGAGGCCACCATTCCCCTACCTACTTTATTTGGCAGAATATTGGCATAGATTTGTGCACATTTGTAATGGGAACGACAGCAAACCAGACACCTCAGCATGACACTGCTCCAACTATGCAACTGGCACCATATGAGATTTCAAGTAACTTAGATTGATTTCTTCAAACTTCTGCTGAGTAGTTCAAACCTTACTTGGTCTGACAAGAAAACACCTCAAGAAAAGATTATGAAATAGTTAAAAATTGGGAACAGACATTTCTCTTTTGTTCAGTACCCTCTCAGTCAATAGTGATGTTTAACGTTGGTTTCACGTTGGACTCCAACACTGGTCTTCTTTTTCAGCTTTATTATCAATTTGAGTCTTAGTGTAATTTCAAGTTTTCAAAGTTCATTTTGAAGTTTAAAAACAGTTAAAAAAAAAGAATATTATGCAGATAACCAAACTATTTATTTGAGATTTCTACTAATTTCTTATAAGAGTACTTAAACAACCAGGGAGGGTTATTGCTTGTACCTTTTTAATGGCTTTAAAAGTGTTGTTGTCCAGTGGTAATTATGTGGTTACTGTTTCTATGTCATTTGAGGTAATTAACAAAAAATGCAATGTGCACCAAATGTTCAGTGAAGCTAAAATATACCAATTCCAAGCTAAAGGAAGTCCTGTTTGATTTGTTAAAAGCTCAAAACACATGACACTGATGCTGATCAGGTGTTTATAAAATCGCCAGCGCAGTGGTTGTTTCTGTGTTCATGCATTACTTGTTGATGGATATTTGAAATGTTCCTTTCTCTGCCTATAGATATAATTGGAGTGTGCAAGAGTGCAGAGGATGTATCCCGTATCACCACAAAGAACAGCAGAGAAGTCTCCAAGAGGGCCATCAACCTAATAGACACCACCGGTAAAGTGGTGACAGTCACTCTGTGGGGGGAGGAGGTAAGAGCTTTAATCTCCTTCCCTGCTTCTCTGCATGCATCCATGACTGGATTTATGATGCATCATAAAAACACATTGAGCCTACTGTAATTAACTGGGTTTTTGAAGGAGCCCATGCGTTTATGCATCTGTGATGGCGTCTGTGTGGGTGGTCTTGCATACAGAGCACTTTGATTTGCTTTTCTGGGCTGTTGGATCGTTTAAATCACTCTTGTGACCTTCAGCGCTGTGTTGGACCAGACACTCTGTTTTGAGACATGAGGCTAATATGGCACCATTCTTCTCCCATCTCATTTGGTCAGCATGAGTTAATCCGTCCTCCTTACCAAAGTCTGGAAGTTACTTCAAAATGAACTTGTAGTTAGCCTAATTATTAAAGTAAACTTGCTGATATTACAGTACATTTCAGTGGCTAAAAGTTTCAGACACAGATTAACATTTGAGACCTTGCTCTTTTACTGCTGCAAATTCTCTCTCCCCTATCAGTTTTTGACGTCTCTTTCTGTTTCTTCTCCAGGCGGAGAAGTTTGACGGCTCAGGACAGCCTGTTGTTGCCATCAAAGGAGCTCGCTTGTCTGATTTTGGAGGCAGATCTCTCTCAGCTTTGTTCAGTTCAACAGTCATGGTCAACCCAGATTTACCCGAAGCCTTCAGACTTAGGGTCTGGTGAGTCACAGTGATGTACACTGCAATCACACACACACACACACACACACACACACACTGATAATCACACAGAGAACTGTCCACAAATTGCAGCCTTCCTAATACTCTGTCACAGACTCTGCACAAGTTGATATGTGTCTAACAAGATAGAAATATCCTTCTGCTAACCTATTCATAATCCTTGAACTCCCACGTTTTATGATGTTACAGCAACATAAACATGTTTTAGTTGGATTTATGTAACTGACCAACACATAATAGAACTTGAGATCTCTTTTTTCTTGGTTAGCAAATTTAAGCTGTTTGTTCGGCATTTGAATGCATCCCCCTTGAGTGATCACTTTGTAAAATAAAATTTCACTACATTCAAAGTTTTAAGTATTGTGAAGTATCTGTCTAACATTAACATCTTTGCTCTCTATTTTGTGAAATCACCTTAATCTGTGCCGTGTTTTTCTATGCCAAGTATTTCTATAAATTCTTAATTGAGTTTCTGGACTTTAAATTTGTTGTTCATATTTACGATCATTGCAGCCTTAGAATTGAAATCTCTCACCCTGCCTAAAGTCTTTTTTTGCCTCTGACTTTCTTTGATAATTGCCCTTTGGTTAACTTCCATCTTTCCATCAACTGAACCCACCTTGCCCCTCTCTGTCAAAGAAAACAAACCTTATGGCATTATACTACCACTACCAGATGTGGATGGTGTTTAGAGTGTTCTAATTAGCATTTTACATTCATACTAAAGGTTTCCATTTTTGTCTCATCTAGTCAGTCACATTTTTAGTGTGTCTCCTGCAGGACATAACGGAAACTTTCCTTGATGTGTCCTTGGCTTGTCCCCTACAATTCCTTTTTAAAAATCAATTTTTGTACTAAAAATATTCTTTCTGTCATGATTCGTGGACATTAAGATCCAAAGAGAAGCACCATCTCCTGGTCAGACCCTGTAATTCAGTAAAAGGGTGAAGTCAGAGTAAAAAAATATGCACAACCAGGAGAAGGCCAGTGGCTAGAAGTTGGAGGGGATTTGGCTTGGAGCTGCAGGGAATTGGGCTGCCATTTGGCTGGCGTTTGACTGGGAAGGGCCATTTTTAATGGCTGCTACTGTATGAATGTGATAAATTTCTCTTTCTGTTTTTCCATCAAAGCCAGATTTGTGGAGGCACAACTAGTAGTTGAGTTTCTACAGTATAATTTTAAAAATGTAGTATCACTTTTCCTCCATTTTGAAAATTATGCCCTGCTTCATCTTGGCCTATAACACAAAAAAGGAATTCATGTTTGTTAACAAAATATGAAAGAATTGAAGGGGCATCAACACCTTTTTCAGGATGTCCTTGTCAGCCTTTATAAAATATGGTATTACCTCCAACCATACACCTGTGTTTCATTCACACACTAATAGGGAAACATAGGTGCAAAAACCCTGTTTATTGAGTGTCGAGAGAATGTTGGTTTGTGCTGCCAGAGTCTCAGTGGGATTCCAGACAACACTGGACTGATGGAAAAAGAGAAGCATGTATTTATTCCTGGATTCTAGCTCTGAACTGCTGCTGCCTTTGCTCCAAAGCCAGCTAAGCAGGATCAAACTGGATTCCTATTAGCAGCTCCTGTGGAGGGGTTTTGAGTTGTGACTCATTCGCTCATTAAGATTGTTCCCAATTCTGGCTACAGGAAAAAATACATTTTCTGTTTTCCTTTTCTTTTTGTGTGTGTATATATAGCTATATATACACTGGGGCAAAAAAAGTATTTAGTCAGCCACTGATTGTGCAAGTTCTCCTACTTTGAATAATGAGTGACGTCTGTAAGTTTCACCATAGGTGCACTTCAGCTATGAAAAAATTTTGTAACATAACCATTGTTGGCAATGACAGAGGTCAAACATTTCCTGTAAGTCTTCACAACGTTTGCACACACCGTAGCTGGTATTTTGGCCCATTCCTCCATGTAGATCTTCTCTAGAGCAATGATGTTTCAGGGCTGTCCCTGGGCAACACGGACTCTCAACTTCCTCCACAAGTTTTCTATGGGGTTCAGGTCTGGAGTCTGGCTAGGCCACTGCAGGACCTTGAAATGCTTTTTACGGAGCCACTCCTTCATTGCCTGGGCAGTGTGTTTGGGATCATTGTCATGCTGGAAGATCTAGCCACGTTTAACTTCAAGGCTCTCAATGATGGAAGGAGGTTTTGGCTTAAAATCTCACGATACATGGCCCCATTCATTCTTCCCTCAAAACGGATCAGTTTTCCTGTCCCCTTTGCAGAAAAACAGCCCCAAAGCATGGCGTTTCCTCCCCCATGCTGCACAGTAGATATGGTGTTCTTGGGATGCAACTCTGCATTCTTCTTCCAAACACGACGAGTTGGGTTTTAATCAAAACATTCTATTTTGGTTTTATCTGACCACATGATATTTTCCCAATCATCATCTGGATCATCCAGATGCTCTCTGGCAAACTTCAAGCGAGCCTGGACATGTACTGGCTTGAGCAGGGGGACACGTCTGGCACTGCAGGATTTGAGTCCCTCTCTGTGTAGTGTGTTACTTATGGTAGCCTTTGTTACTTTGTTCCCAGCTCTCTGCAGACATTTATCAGGTCCCTCCATCTTTGCTCACCGTTCTCATGATCATTTTGACCCCACAGGATGAGATCATGCGTGGAGCCCCAGATCAACAGAGATTATCAGTGGTCTTGTATGTCTTCCATTTGCTTACATTTGCTCCTGCAGTTGATTTTTTCACAGCAAGCTGGTTGCCAGTTGTATATTCACTCGTCCCTGGTGCAGGTCTGCAATTTTCTTCCTGGTGTCCTTCGACAGCTCTTTGGTCTTGGCCATGGTTGAGTTTGGAGTGTGACT